GTGAAGCGCCTCTCCTCAATGACTGAGTTCCGACCCGAGGAGTACGAATTACCTCCCTTCAGAGAGTGATAAACTGACAGGGCAGAGGATGCTATGCTTCTTATGCCTGCCCTATTTTGGGTATGGCTTTTCTCATCGCATTCTTCGTCTGGCAATTCCAGCCTCTCGATGCGAATTGGCATTCGGCGACCAACTAAAGAGTATAATTCTTTGTCACTATTCTGTTGGCCTTGCTCTTCTTCTTTGTTCTACTCCACACTGATAAAACGAGTATACATTTATGACTACTATATGATGTTATATATATATATATATATATTTGCCATTAATCTATTCTTAGAGGTGTATCAGAAGAATGGGCTTTGTTCATGGTCACTTTTCTCCGTTTGGCGAGTTACGCATTTCCACTTCCTTATCCCCATACTATACCATAGTCTTAGTAACTTTTCAAAATACGAAGGCTTGCAAGGTATATGTATATATATGAATATATGTATACATATATATATATATATATATATGGTTTACACATTCTAATCTTTATCTTCATCATTCTGAAAAAGTTTTTTTTCATATTTTACTCTTTTATTCGATTAGTTTGATCCTCACCATTTTTCGACCCTCATTTCTTATTTCCCATAGTTCTCACAACTAAATGAATCATTTTTAGTTATTTTTTGGAAGGCATACCCTCCTCATAGGTCAATTATCATTTCTTCATCATTTTTTAATAATTTATTGCCTTTTTGCCAGTTGAATCCTTTAAAATACCTTTATTTTTTGTTTCTTTGATACATCTCATACAATATTCATCAGCATTCTATTTGATTACCATTTATCTTAGCATTGAGTAAAATTCGGGTTCTTTTTGAATAAACTGATTGAGAATCTAGGTTGAATCCTTATTCTATGCTTTCTGAAATTATGGTTCTCTTTCCTATTGAATGGTGATTGCCTTGTCATGAATGTCTACTTACTTGGTCCTTGTTGGTTTGCTGACTACTAGTTACAATCTTTCCGTCCATTCTTTTTTAAATTCTTCCAAGCTTTTTTGCCTTTTCATTGCTCGCCGTGAATTTTGATGCCAGAATACGAGTTGGTTCGATCTCAAAGTAGGATCGGTAGACATACGATAGATAATAAAATACCATTTGTTGGTTTCGGGCCTAAAAAGCTAGTTAGCTCCATTCAATAGCTGAATTCCTTTTCCAGCATCCTGATCGACAATAGGCTACTCATGTAACTTATAGATCCTTTCAAGGCTATTTAATCTCAATTAGATTATCGACTAGGTCGTTAATGAGGACTGAACCGGCCTTATATCTATTTTACGCCGACATTTCGATTCGTAGTTCTTTCATAAATCCTTATTTTTGCAAACTTATAAAGGGTTCTGAGTGTTTCTGCTTTTTTCCATTCCTGTAAAGAAGAACTAGAGAGGGTACTGATAAGATTATAATGTTATGCTACTTTTTTCATCCAAGTTTCCTCACTTATTCGATTAAGTCCTCACCTCGACCACGTACCACATTTAGAACTCGCTTCTATTTCCCGTCGTCTATCTCGGTTGGTATTCCGATAATTTTCAAGCGAACTGAAATCGTTTTTTTAGTCTCTCGGTTACCAACTCGAGATAATACACGGCATCGCAATTATCTCGATCCTCTTATCATTATAAGACAAGCTCTTATCCTTCGCTTTTATACTCTTACTACTACGATTTAGTTATTCGGCCGAAATTTTCGTCTTTGTTCGTGCTTTTCCTAAGTCTGGTAACTGTTTCCCTCTTATCATCCATTGTTTAGATGAATAGCTCGTTTTCACTCGGACTAAGGAAGGATGTCTCGTTGACCGCGTCAACTTGGACGTCGTATTTGGCTTTAGCCAAATGGTCGCGTAACGATGAGAATCAGCTGTCGTCTTCCGATGAGATCGATCTACGAACCTCCTCACCATGCATTTTAATAAGAAATGAAAGTCTCCATACCATTTTTCTATCAAGAGATTCATCAGACCCCTTTATTTATTTATTTATTTATATACTTAGTCAACTTAGAATTTGTGTAAGTACATAAGATGGTGCTACCTAGACTTAGGTTCGTCTTTCCTCCACCTTTTCAGGAATGAGTCGCCTAGGCGAGCAAATAATTTAGCTAGAGACACTAAACTCAATTCGCCTGGGCTTTGTTAACGTAACAAGTCCAACGGCTGGGTCACTTGAGCTCAAGAACAAGGCTAAACTACGAGTTTTCCGCAATTCATATTGGCGCTTGGATACTCCTTGCAGTAATAATTGCTCAAAGGGGAACAAGGTGTTGTGAAGATTTTTACGATCAGAATGTTAATCAGTTTTCTGTCAGGCTGATGAGGTGAATTTATGAATTCCTTCACTGCCAATTTTCATACTTCATTAGAAATCGGCTAAAATGGGCCTTGATAAATGCCTTTGGAGCACCCTACAATGCTATATTATGTAAGCCCTGAAATGTTTATTAGAATATTTTATTTTCTACTTGAAGTTTAAACTACCAATTAATCTCGTTTAGGCTTACAGTTCGCTATTGGTTTGCCAGATAGTGCTTTGTGATGTCTTATATTATTGACCCTAAGGGCTGATTCTGGTGACGAATTTCGCTCAATTTATTTCAGTTGGGCGAGGATGCGACTTTGGTATCACTACACTGGAGCTTACTTTATGAATGCATTCCTTCATTTTTATTGGACGCCAAAAAATTAATAAACAACTAATATTCATCAGACAATATGTGCAACGATTATCGACAATTGCTATTTTAGTTGTTTTACCTGGTCATTTTAGGAGACAATAGGCCGTATAAATTTGCACTTAAGTGCTTAAGTGTTCCTAGTTTTTAAAGGATATTTCTCTTCAAGCCTGTGTATTGCCCTTTCGCGCATTTTAGCGTTTTGCCTTTTGGAGTAGATAGTGGTAACTTTCTTCGATCACCACATGCCTGCTCTCGTTTGTCTAACCGTAAACGGCATTCTAGTCTTCCTGTCTGCTAGAAGAACCTGCTATGTGTATACCGCGCTGTTTTTCGTCAACGGCGGACACTACTGTTGCTCCCGCGACGCTCGACTATAGCTTTTAGGTACCTACCTTACTTCGTAATCAATCTAGACGGACAATACTGTTCTGTGGCATCACAACAAGTCTGTTCTCAGTTGTCTATTAATGTGTAAGTGATCTAGATAGTCTTTTTAGTATAGTTACACCTATCAGATAATGATGTAATATCTGGAGATGATGAGAGATACTACACATTGGGGTCCAATTTACTTTGTCCAGCTCCCTTTTAAGCCACCTTTTCTTAAATGAAAATAAAATACATATTTAATTACTGTTCGCGGAAATTTTCTTTATTCATATTTTGTTGTGGAAGAATTTAGAAAAGAATCCTAGTGAGTTACTCGTAAGGAGTAACGAAGAACTGGTAGTTGAATTCTCCCACAATGAAATGAGTGGGCCCTATGTTACCATTGCGATTTACTTGGCCTTGCCTCTCGAAAAGTATTCTTATTCAGGACGGATTTCAGTTTCGTCCTCGCCTTGATCTTATCAGCACTCCCAACCGATTGAGTGGCATAGTCTGTTGTTGCGATGTTACCATTACGCCACACTATCGGGGTGCAATTCGGTGACAAATAAGTGGCATACTGTTAACATATTGAGATTATACGCCCCACTAACTATTTCGATTCTCGTTTGGGGTGCTGATGAGACATAGACGAGATTGAAACTGCAGTTCTATCGAGCCAGGAGAAAACCTCTTGGGAAGCGGGGCTTAAAGAGGCGCAAAGGCAACAAACATTAAGTCTACTTTTGTCTCTGATGAACTGTAGCTGAGAATCGCAAGATTTACGCACGATGCCAGTGAAATGTCTGAGAATTTACCAAGCCCATGATTAAAAATTGTGAATTATAATTACTATAGCAGATGACGTCGGACAAGATGAGTCCAATAGAGTTGCTCTGACAAAACAGCCAAGTTTCAAAAATGAGGTCAGGTCACTTCCATTCAGCAAAAGCATACTGGCCATAACAGCATCCACCACATCTTGATTTTTATACCTACTCATATCCTTGCGAAAAAATCAGATATCAGTCAATCTTTCATTACCTTATGAGGCCTAGGGTCACTGATTTTTATTCTATATCCAACGACGGTCTCAAAGTCTACTTACTATGAATATAAACAGGGGGAATCAAGCTGAATAACGATGCGCATGGAGAAGACAAAGATGTTGGTTTTCCTGATTTCATTTATAATCATGCTTGCGATGGCACTAAGTCCAGCGGGAGCAGATCTTCTGGACTGTCAAGGTGAAAGATTAAATTCAGTTTTAGTTCAGCTATCCACGGGCTGATGAACTATTCTTTTATGATGCTTTCAGGATTGTTGACAGTAGTCATATTTACAGCAGGACAGGGAGTTTTGTGGCTCTATTTGGTTTCTGGTGCTATCTTGTCAGCTTTGTACATGTAACCATACCATCATGCCCTCGATTTTGCCTTCTTTTCGGGAATTTTCGGGTCTGGTTTCAATGTTATGTGCTCGTCTAATAGCGGCTGCGGAGGAGTGGGGTCAGACTTGCCTACCTATCTGA